AAATCCATTGTTGTCTCCTGGCGCAGGTTGGAGCCCCGCCAGCAATGCTATCATCTTCCATAATTAAAGACCAGAATCTGTAAAATTCACGTTCTGTCATGTAGTGGTGACGACACAAGTATTCGTGCTTAAAGAAAAAATCGGGCATGAACGAACCTTGCCGGTCTTATTGTGGGGAGAAATTGCTGTTCCACACTGAATCAATGCACTGACCTGCAGTCATGTGACATTGCTTTCCCTCAAGTTTAAAAAGCCTGACTCCGCAGAATAAAAGGAAAAAAATTTCTAGAGACAGAAAGCAGGAGAAATAATATATGATATCTTCACTCTCACTTTACAGACAGATTGACAGTTCATTCAGCTAGGGACAGAAATTAATTAAGGCACATGAAGTTATTGGTACAAACACTGACTCATCGTAAGGTGGGCAAGAGGGAGAGGAGAAGTGAGAAAACAAAGTGGTCAACTTCCAAAGTCTTTTTTCCTGCAAAAGTTTTTCACGTATTTGAAAAGCTGACTGCCCTAAATCAAAAATGTCTCCATGGGCTTTGTGTGAACTTTTGACGTGTTTTCCATTGTTTGTCCATCAGGCTTGCAATTCAGTTCGCTGGTGGGATTGAGTCTGCTGTTAGAACTGATTCATTTGCGCGATTACGGGGAGAAAACAGGAGAATGGCACTTAAGTGAGATATTGAATTGGAGAGCAGGTACGGACATGATAGTCTTATGGCTTCATCCTACAATTTTACAATTCTGTAATTCTGTAAACCTTCTCAGTGTCCTGGCGTTAAAAGTGTGGTTGAGAAGCTCAGGAAACACTTTGCGAGTGAGGTTTTAAAATAGGAGAGTGAGTGTGAAAGAGGCAACTGTGATGTTGGAAAATTTAAAATGAGGGCATTTAACAGCCGAGAATGCAGGCATTTGGCCTGGCTTGCTGCATTGAAACAGCCGTTGTGATTGAGTTATCCTGAGTAATCAAGTGTTCAGAATGCCAAATCCAAACGAATAAACCACCACGAAAATGGTTGGCACACTTTTCTATTACTACCGACATCGCATTTACCACTTATTGTTCTCATTTCAAATATTTTCACTAGGGTCGAGTTTCCTCTATAAGATAATGTCTTGTTACACACACTGACTAAAAAAGACAATGTGTTATATATTGCACTTGGAAATCCATCTTGGATTGTTCCATCAGACTAAAGGCGGGGTATCATTATGAGCTGTTGTTGCAGGACATAAATTGAAAGGGAGAAAAAATTGCTCTGCATCTTTTTCATCGTGATTTTTTTTCCTTTGTGACATTTTAGCATGATGCCAGATAACGTTTGAGATGGAAATTATTTTTCCATTCTTATATGGCAACTGATCATCATTGACATTCGGAGAGGAAGCTATATAAACATATGGATTGTCCAAAAGTTATCGTGACATGATGGAAGAGAAGCAGCCAGAAACCAGGGAGTTGACCAACTCGGGTAATAGTTGTTTTCTCACTGTGAAATACCTGAATGCTGAGAGTGAATGGAAATGAGGAAATGCGAAGTTGTTTGGATGGGTTCATCTTCCATGTATGGGACAATAACGTCAGCAAGCACTTAGGAAAATCAGAAATGCTGATGAGCACAATCATGAGGATTAGGAACTGAATTAATCACCATAAGGGGAACATATGGGTTGAGTTGGAAAAATCAGTTTACATTTGGAAAGGGAAAGCTGTGTCTAACTAACCTGGTGGAGTGTGTTGAAAAGATAACAGAGACAGTTGATGAAGGGAAAGAAGTTGCCCATGGTATACATGGACTTATAAAAAGCATTTGATACAATGACACACACAGAACACCCTAGGGTCGGCATGATGGCACAGTGATTAGCACTGTTGACTAACAGCTCCATGGACCCAGGGTCGATTCTACCTTCGGGTGCCTGTCTGTGAGGAGTTTGCACATTTTTCCCGTGTCGGCGTCGGTTTTCTCTGGGTAGTCTGGTTTCCTCCCACAGTCCGAAGATGTGCAGACTGAGTGGATTGGCCAATACTAAATTTGCCGCAGCGCCCAGGGGTATGTAGATGGTTACAGGGTAATGGAACTGGGTGGAGTGCTCTGATGGTAAGTGTGGACTTGTTGCGCTAAAGGGCCTGTTTCCACACTGCAGGGATTCAATGAATCTATGACACATAGATGTGGGTGCACAATAATATATGTAGTTAAACGTGGCAAGTCAGGTAGAGGGAGCTGTTAATAAAACATGCAGTCTCCTCGGCTTCTTACTCAGAAACACAGAGTAAGAAAGAGGGTCTGGTGAATATAAGACAATGGTTAACTTCAGCTATGACATCAAAGGAAATGCATTGTATGAATGCATTGTAGTGAGTGCAGGAGAGGTTTGTGACAATGGTTTGAAAGATGAAGCACTTAAGATATCAAAGAAGATTAGAAAGATTGTGTCCGTTTTCCTTGGAGAAGTGTCGGATATGCACAGATTTTATCACAAATTGTAAAATCATGAACACTCTTCATAGCATGAATCGGGCGAAAGTATCTCCACTGTTAAATGAACAAAGACCAGAGGTGATAACTTTAAATGTTTTCAAATGAAGTCAATGCCACATCAAAAAAATGCATATAACGAGTAGTTAAGTTATAGTCCATTATGGCAGCAGAGCAGTTCGACAAAACGCTTCAGAAGACATGGGATATGTGCCTTTATTTGCCAAGGAATAGAGCTTAAGAGCAAATAGGCTCTGCATGAACTATATGAATAGTTGCTCTGGATGTAGTTTTTTTTCGTTCTGGAAAGAATGCAACGGAGGTTTACCACGATCTTGCCTTATCTGGAGGGTTTTAGTTATGAAGAGAGAAATAGACAGCCTTTGTTTTCTGTGGAGCAGAGAAGTCTGAGTGGGAACATTAGTGAGAAGTACAAAGTTATGAGGGGCATAGGTATGGCAGACAGAAAGAAACTTTCCCTCTCAGATGGTACAGATTTAAGGTAAGGGGTGGCAGGTTCACAAAGAGGCATGGATTTAGTTTTCCTTTCATCCAGAAGCTGGTGGTAATTTGCAACTCATTGCCAATAAGGGTGTGAGAGGCAGATCCCCTCATAATATTTAGAAGGCATTTAAATGTAAACTTGCGATCCCAAGGCACGCAATGCTATCGTCCAAAGCTGTAAAATATGACTGGAGAACTTGTTGGCTGTTCTTGACTGAATGATTCTATGACATACATTATTGCACCACAGGACTTATTGGAATGAAACGATATTTCTAGCTTTTGCCAGCATAAGTAAACATTAAAATTGTTTGTTACCAGTGGTATTTTCGACCTGCATGGTTCGACTAAGATTGTATCACAATTATGACAGATCCCCAGCAATTGCCAGCTTGCAAATTAATGGGCGTTTTAAAAATATATATATAATTCAACATATACAAATCGGTTGTTGTTTTGCAATCTGTTAATATTCTCCAATTTTTAATGATTCACATAACATTGACATTTATTTCAGATTATTCAGAACATGAGCCGGTCATCCGTAGAGACGTTGAATTATACTGCTGGGCTATGATGACACCTAAATTATTGCTTCTTATTATACAATTCCAGCAGCAGAACTGTTGTGGTGTTGTCATCAAAGTCACAACAATCGTCAGTGTTTGCACATCAGACCAGAAAATTGGATAAAACATGAGGCCCAGAAGCATGAACAAGGACTTTTGTGACCCGGGAAGGGGCAGACAGAGGAGTGCAAAGGCATTGTATTTTATTTCATGCTGTTGCATAGAAACATATAGGGTTTGTTGAGTTAAATTCAAATGTGGGCCAGGGTATCCACGTTACAATGCTGAGATTTGGAGGTGAAGTGGTATAAAGGCCCTGCACATCGACGAGATATGGGACAGAATCCCTCGTGGCTGCACGAAAAGGTAAGATCTCCAATGGTTTGACATGAACTATCAGGATGACCAGGCAATAGCTTACACTCCAAAACTGAAATAAATAACTCATAACGACAATCTGTAGCTATGCAGGAGTTATTTGTGGTTGGAACTGCCTATTTAGAATCTGTGTCTTCGGCAAGCTGAAAAGTTACGTTGCAGGAAACATTCAATCGTAAATGCTTTTGAGTCCCTTGTATCGACTAGGGCTTGTTTTGGGCCTCTGACAGCTAAATTGGCTTGCAGAACATAGGATATGCTTCACACGACGACAGACACAGAGACAGTTATGCAAACACATACATATACACATGGAACAAAATGGCAAATTGTGTTATTAATGAACAAAACCTCACTTCAACAATCGCATCTTGACTTCTGGGAGGCTCTGTGTTATTTAATTATGAGAGGTCATGTTTCCACATTAGTTTTCGGTTGGGGTGCTCAGCGACGTTTTGAGGTAAGTAGTAAAGCATGAATTGTGGCTACACCTTTCTCGGGCAGTTTCCTATTTAAAGTGGTGAGCAAAAATACATGACCAGGAATTCTCGCGTTTTGCTCAAAAGTTGACTTTGATCTGGTGCTAATTAGCATTGTCCACCTTCAGTGAGTTGCTGCATAAACTCTGCGAACGCCAGCAGAATGCGAAGAAGCTATGACACCAGTGGAATTTTTTTCATCGCAGATGAACACCAAATACGTGTTGTTGACATGTTCACAGTAAATGTAATGGCATTGCTTCTCCAGCAGATGGAAGTGAGGGCTGACAGCAGATAACAGTTATGACATACCACTGGAAAAGTTGAAACTTGAGTTCCGGTTTTCTTAGTCTGGTCACTGCCACTGCAGCATACAAGGCGAAAAACATGACATAACGAAAGCATTACCTCAACTATTACGGAAATATAGCTTTTATCATCTGTATATGTAGAAAACACATCGGGGAGCTAAGAAATAAGGCGTGGATTAAGACACTGTTGAAAGAAATTTATAGGGCCCTGGAAATATTCATTAAACGCGACAGAGAATATGCAGAAAGGAATGAAAAAGTCAATTCAATAGTCATCGTCAAATTTAATCTTCTCATCAATTGACAGCGTCAGATTGGCAAAGGTAGTCACGAAGAAGAATTCACAGAGTGCATTTGGGACAGTCTTCTCGAAGAATATGTTTTCGATCCAGCCAGGCAACTTGATATATTGGATCTGGTATTGTGTTCTGGAGGATGGTTAATAAATGACGAAAGATTCAAAGATATCATCGAAAACATTGGCTGTCACATAACAAAATTTAGCATTCAATTTGAGAGGGAGAAATTTGCATCAGAAACAAATATTCCAGGTTTTTATAAGGGTAATTACAAAGGAATGAGGGCAAGTCTTGCTGGAATGGACTGTAAAATGAGTTTAGCAGCAAAGACATATGCAGAACCATGACAGTCATTTATGCATAACAGTTTATGATTCACAGCAAAGATATATCCCATCGAGAAGGAAGGATTAAAGGAAGGGGACAAGCCAATTACTGTTAAGCAGGGAAATTAAAGATAGCAACAAATTGAAAGAAAAGACAAAAAACGAAAACTTAAAAAGTATCAAATATCAAAGTAAAGCAGAGCATTTTGAAATTTTGTAGAGCTATCAAAATGCAAGACAGAAATTAATAAGGAGAGAGAAGGTGCACAATTAAATGTAATTTTTAAAATGATACAATTAAAAATACAGGTAATATCAAAATGGACAGCAAGTGGTTCCTTAATTTTTTAGAAAGGAAGAGAAAGGCCCAGTGAACACAAGTTTATCTTGAGTGAAGCTGGGGAATTAATGACTGCGAACCATTAAGTAACAGACAAGTTGAATAAATACTCTTCATCAGCCTTTATTGCAGAATTCCAAAATTCCTAAATAACGAAGGGCAAAACACAAAGGAGATGAATACAACACAACAACTCCACTGAAAGAAAAGAACTGCTGGGGAACTTAATATGACTAAATATCATTAATTACATTGGAACTGATGTGATGAAATCGAGGCCAGGAAAATAAATAACGTCAAAAGTGTGAGATGCACTTGTAGTAACTTTCTAATAATTATTAGATTTCCGAAACAGTCCCAGAAGATGGGGAAACTGGCAAGATAATAACTTAATTCAGAAAAAGAAAGACGCAAGGAAACGTGACTGACGCCACTTAATTTAACACAAATCATTGCAAGAATGGTGGAGCCGATCATATCGTATGTAGCAGCAGAGTGTTTAGAAGTCTATGACATGATCAAGAGGACTGAGAATGGCTTTTTGAAAGGGAAATCTTACCTGATAAATATATTAGAATTCCTTGAGCATGTAAAAAAAAAACGGAGGGAAGCAGTTATTGTCATACGTTTAGATTTTCCGATGGCATTCAATGAGGTACCATGCATATTATTACTTAATAAGGCAAGAGCCCAAGGCTTTGGAGGCAGCATATTGGCGCAGTGAGAGGATTGTCGAAATCACAGTAGAACGATTGTTAGACTCAGAGTTTTATTTCACCGGACGTCAACCTGGAACAAATAGAGTATCACATGAATTCGTGCTGGGTGCACAAATATTTGCAATGTATATTAATGACTTTGATGAGAAATGTGAATGTACTGTAGTCAAGTTTATGAACTACACAAAAATAGGAGAGAAGGCAAGTGGTGAGAATGACACAAAGAGTTTGCAGAGAGATATGTATAGGACAAGAGTGTGAGCAAAAACTTGGGATATTAATGCAAAGTGGATGAAGTGCATGTAAAAACATGGAAAATGTGAGGATATACACTTTGGTAGGAAAAATAGAGCTGCTAAATATTATTCAAATAAAAATTAAATGAGAATTCTACAAAACAAATTTGGGAGTCCTCATCCTTGAAGCACAAAAAGGTAGTTTTTAAATTCAGCTGTTAATGAGGAAGTCAGACTTAATTTTGGGCTTTATTTCAAATATAATGGAATATTGAGAGTCCGAATATGAGGACAGAGGAGATGCATACATGGCTGAGGAGGTCGTGCACAGGGCAGAATTCACATTTTTGGATCATTGCGATCTCTTCAGTGGTAGAAATGACCCTTACAAGAGGGAGAGGATCTAACTGAATTGGAAGGGGACCAATATTCTTGCAGGGGAAATTGGTACTGCTCCTTGGGAGATTTTAAACTGGTAAGGAGAATTGCGAGGGACGTGGTGCTGGGAGGCACCAAAGAGATAGGGAGAAAATAGAAACTGCTGAGGCTGGCACAGAAGGTAAGACGAGTAAGTCTAATCGACAAGAGTAGACAAGAGCTTAGCAGGGAACGAGGTATTACTGGTAAATTGAAGTGCATTTCCTTCAATGCAAGAGGCATGACAGGTAAGGCAGATGAAGTTACTACAAGGTTGGGAACATGGGACTGAAATATCGTAGCTATTACAAAATACGTGTCTCTGGAATAGACAGGACTGGGCGCTTAATGTTCCAGTGTATGGATGCAATACGAAAGATAGAAGGGGAAGCAAGAGAAGAGGGGGATAGGTGTTTATAGTTCGTTTGAACATTACGGCTACACATAGGGCAGATACTCCTGGGCGACCATACGGTGAAGTTATGGAGGTGGAACTTCAAAATAAGAAAGTGATCAACACCTTGTTGGTACTGCACTGTAGGCCTCCCAATAATCAGTGGGAAATTGATAAACAAACATGTGACGGGATCTCAGACACTTGTGAGAGAAATTGGACAATGGCAGGGAATTTTAAATGTCCAAACATAGAATGGGAATGTCATAATGCAAAGGGCTTGGACGTGGAAGAATTTCTTATTTGTGTACAAAAAAAACATGCTTCTTCAATATGCGGATGTACCTCCTTGAGAAGGAGCATTACTTGACCTTCTGTTGGGAAATAAGGCAGGGCAAGTGACTGTGTTTCGTTGGGAGAGCACTTTGAGAGAAGTGATCACAATTCTATTAGGTTTAAAATAGTTACAGGAAAGGATAGAATGGATCACAAAGTTAAAGCTCTAAATTGGAAACTAATTTTGAAGGTATTAGACAGGAATTTTGAAAAGTTGATTCCGGGAAACTGTTCACAAGGAAAGAAAATATTCAGAAGAGAGAGAACTTTAAGAATGACATAATGAGAGCTCAGATATGGTATGTTCCTGTTTGTGTCAGGGGAAAAACTGGTAGGTGTAGTGAATGTTGGATGATTGGAAAAATTCAGGCTCTGCTCAAGAAAAAGAAGAAGGCATATACCAGATATAGACAGCTGGGATCGAGTGTATCCCTAGAACAGCATAAGGACTGTAGAAGTATACTAAAGAGGGATCTCGGGCTGGCACAAAAGGGACATGAGATATCTTTCGCTGAAAGTGTTAAGGTGAGTCTAAAGTGATTCTATAATTATATTAAGGGCAAAAAAAGAATAACTAGAGAGGGACTATGGGCCCTTAAATATCAACGTAGAACCACAAGAGATGTGTGAGATACTGAACGAATATTTTGTGTCCGTATTTGCTCTGGACAATGACATGGAAGCAAGGGAACTTTGGGAAATAAATAATAATGTCTTGAGAAGATTTGAGGTGTTGGAGGTCTTAAAGCACAACAAGAGAGATAAGTAACCGGGACTTGATTAGGTTCTCCACAGAACTCTAATGGAAATTGGGGAAGAGGTTGCTGGTCCCCTCTTTTATCATTGATAGCCACAGGTGAGGTGCCCATAGACTGTACAGCGGCTAACCTGGTGCTATTATTTAACAAGATTGTAAGCAAAAGTCAGTGATCTATCGAACCGTGAGCCTGACATCAGTGGTAGAAAACTTGTTCAATGGGATTTCTGAGGGATAGAATTTACATCCATTTTGAAAGGGAAGGAGTGATACAGCAAGGCTTTTTTGCAAGGATGTAACCAAAAGAAAAATTAGAATTGATGATTATCAGAATGGTAGACATTGTTTACTTGGACTTTAGGAAAGCCTTTGACAAGGTTCCACATAGTAGTCTGTTTATCAAAGTCGATTCATGTGGGATTCAGGGTGAGCTTGCCAATTGGATACAAAATTCCCTGATGGCAGGAGACAAAGGGTCGTCGTGGAGGATTGTTTTCTGGACTGGAGGTCTGTTGCAAGTGGTGTTCCACAGGAGTGGTGCTGGGTCTGCATTTTTTTGTCATTTATATCAATAATTTAGATCAAAATATTGGTAAGTTTGCGAATAACATCGAATTTGATAGTGTATTGGACAGTGAAGAAGGATATCTAAGATTAGAAAGAGATCTTGTTTGATCAGATCAATTGATTGACGAGTGAAAGGAGGAGTTTAGTTTCGAGAGATGTGCGGTTTTGCATTGTGGGAAAACAAACAAGGACAGGACGAAAACAATTAAAGATAGGGACTCCTGTAGTGTTGTAGTACAGAGAGAACTAAGGGTCATTTACATAATCCTTTGAAGTTTGCATCACATGATTTGACAGCGTGGTTCAGAAGACGTTTAGTACTTTTGCCATCATTGCTCACGCCTTTGAGTATGGGAGTTGGGAAGACGTGTTAAAGGTCTACAGGACGTTGGCAAGTCCTCTTCTGGAGAACTGTGCCCCGTTTTGTTCGCCCTCTTATAATAAGGATGTCATCAAGCTGGAGATAGTTCTGAATAAAAAATATCAGAATGTTGCAGCAGTGGAAGATTTGTGTTGTGAGGAGGGCTGCAGAGTCATAGAGTCAAAGAGATGGATAGTAAGGAAACAGACCATAAGTTTCAACTCGTTCATGCCTACCAGATATCCTAAATTAATCTAGTCCCATTTGCCTGCAATTGACCCATATCCCTCACAACCTTTCCTATTCGTTTACACATCCAGATGGCCTTTAAATGTTATAATTATACCAGCCTCCATCTCTTCCTGTGGCAGCTCGTTCCATATATGCACCACCCTCAGCGTGGAAAAGTTGCCCTTTAGCTCGCTTTTAATTCTTTCCTCTTTTACCATAAGCATATCCTTTCTAGGTTTGGACTCATCTACCCTGTGGAAAAGACCTCGGCTATTCACTCTGTCCATGCCCTCATGGTTTTATGAACTGCTATTAACTCATGCCTCAGCCTCCGACAATCCAGGGAAAATAGCTCCAGTCTATTCATCTTTTCACTATAGCTGAAACCATCCAAGCGTGGCAACATACATGCATTTTTTTTTCTGAACTCTTTCAAGTTTCAAAACATGTTTCCTTTCGCAGAGACCAGGATTGAACGCAGTTTTCAAGAATTGGCCTATCCAATGTCTGATACAGCCGCAACATGACCTTCCAACTCCGATACTCAATGCAACGACTGGTAAAGCCACGCATACCAAACACCTTCTTCACTCTTCTTTCTACCTACGACCTCATTTTCAAGGAACTATGAAACCACGCTCCAAGGTCTCTTTGTTCGGCAACTCTCTCCAGGACCTTACCATTAACAGTCAAAATCCTCACCTGATTTGCCTTATCAAAATCCAACACCACACATTTATCTAAATAAAACTCCATCAGTCGCTCCGCTGTGCATCGGCTCATCCATCCATCTGATCAAGGTCCCACGTACTCTGAGGTAACTTTCTTCACTGTCCAATACACCTCCAATTTGGTGTCATCTGTGAACTTACGAATCGTAACTCCAGTATTCAAATCCAAATCATTGACATAAATGACAAAAAGCAGTAGACCCAGTAACAACACTTGCAGCATACCACTGGTCACTAATCTCCAGTCCAAAAAGCAACCTTCCGCCACCACGCTTTGTCTCCGACCAACGAGCCAGTGATGGAACCATAAAGCTAGTTAACTCTTGATTCCACGAGATCTGACCATGTTAACCATGGGGTGGAACGTTGGTTCAGTGGTTAGCACTGCTGCCTCACAGTGCCAGGGATCCGCGTTCAATTCCACCCTTTGGCGACTGTCTGTGTGGAGTTTGCACATTCTACCCATGCCCACGTGGGTTTCCTCCAGGTGATCCGATTTCCTCCCACAGTCCAAAGAAATGCAGGCTTGTTGGATTGGTCATGCTAAATTGCCAATAGCGATGTGCAGATTTGGTGGGTTAAGGGGGCTGGGATGGTCTGAGGGTCGGTCTGGATTTGTTGGGCCATACTGTAAGGATTCGATGTTCCATGTAATCAGTCCACCACGTGGAACCACGTCGAAAGCCTCAATAAAGTCCATATAAACCACGTCCACCACTCTGCATTCGTCAATCCTCTACGTGATTCTTCAAAAATAAATCAATCAAGTCAGTCAGTCACGATTTCCCAATCACAACACCATGCTGACTATTCTTAATCAGTCCCTGCCTTTCCAAGTACATGTAAATCCTGTCCAACAGATTGCCACCACTCATGTCAGGCTCACCATTCTGTAGCTTCCTGGCTTTTCCTTACTACCTTTCTTCAATAATGGGAATACGCTGGCCAACATCCAGTATTCTGGCACATCACTTGTGGCTATCGATGATTCAAATATTTCAGCAAGGGGCCCAACACTCATTTCCTTAGCCTTTCTCAAAATTCTTGGGCACACCTGATCAGGTCCTGGGGATTTATCCACCTTTGTGCATTTAAGATGTCCTGCAGCACCTCCTCTGTAATATGAACGCTGTTGAAGAAATTGCTATTTATTTTCATAAGTTCTCTAGCTTCCAGATCATTCCTCACAGAAAACAATGACGCAAAATACTCGTTTAGTGTCTCACTCGCCTCCTTTTCAGTTGTTTCAGCGGCGGGAGTCCGGGAGGAAGCGCGAGGGCAGCCTGGGAAGGTGAGCTTTTCGGTTATAAAAGTCTTACCTCGCGTGACTCCATTTTTGGAGGAAGTGAGGTAATATATTTGGGCGGTTGCTTGACCCGAAACACTACCGAGGTAGTGTCTCCCACCCATCCTCCTCCTCTCACCAAAAAAAAAGATTCTGAGCGCTGATTTGGTAAGGCTACTAGTATTTTTTTTTAAATTTGTCTGTTTGGGAATTCAGAACAGTGGGAATGGATGTCAGGGCAGCTGTATGCTCCTCCTGTAGAATGTGGGAGGTAAGGGTCACCACTAGTGTCCCCACTGACTTCATCTGCGGGAAGTGCACCCAACTCCAGCTCCTTGGAAACCGTGTTAGGGAACTGGAGCTGGAGCTGGATGAACTTCGGATCATTCGGGAGGCTGAGGGGGTAATTGAGAGGAGTTACGGGGAGGTAGTCACACCTCAGGTACAGGAAAAAAGTAGATGGGTTACAGTCAGGGGACGGAAAGGGAACAGGCAGACAGTGCAGGGATCCCCTGTGGCCATTCCCCTCAAAAACAAGTATACCGTTTTGGATACTGTTGGGGGGGACAGCTTACCAGGGGTAAGCCATGGGGTACAGGTCTCTGACACAGAGTCTGCCCCTGTTGCTCAGAAGGGAAGTGGGGAGAGGAGGAGAGCATTAGTCATTGGGGATTCCATAGTTAGGGGGACAGATAGGAGATTCTGTGGGAACGAGAGAGACTCGCGGTTGGTGTGTTGCCTCCCAGGTGCCAGGATCCGTGATGTCTCGGATCGTGTTTTCGGGATCCTTAAGGGGGAGGGGGAGCAGCCCCAAGTCGTGGTCCACATAGGCACCAACGACATAGGTAGGAAAAGGGATGGGGACGTAAGGCAGAAATTCAAGGAGCTAGGGTGGAAGCTGAGAGCGAGAACAAACAGAGTTGTTATCTCTGGTTTGTTACCCGTGCCACGTGCGAGCGAGGCAAGGAATAGGGAGAGAGAGCAGTTGAACACGTGGCTACAGGGATGGTGCAGGAGGGAGGGATTCAGATACCTGGATAATTGGGGCTCATTCTGGGGTAGGTGGGACCTCTACAAACGGGATGGTCTACACCTGAACCAGAGGGGTACCAATATCCTGGGGGGGAAATTTGCTAATGCTCTT